AAGTTAACCAGTTTACCCAATGCACGTGTACGCCTCCACATAAGGACAAAACAAAACAAAACTAGAACAGAAAATTCTCGCGCATGTTCTCTTTGTTAAGAAGGTGCGTTTAAATACTTAGTTATTCCTAAGAAAATATAAGAGGACAAAAAGGACACAAAATAAAAGAGGCAATACAAGAGGTGTCTTCTTCTGCAGAGTAATGAGTTGCCTACCACGTACCTAATCGTGAATCTGGTTGGCAATTCTCTAACAGAACAAAAAATCCTTTTCCTGGTGGACAGGTAAAGTATCTTTCTTTATCAAAAGTTCCATCTGAACATGTAGGCTCTTCCTTTTCCTTCAAAGAAACGAAGCACAGTGTTACAACCCCTTACACGGTTTCTAGTTAATAATCTGTATTTAAGCATGCAAAGTATTTGCGGACTCATGGGTAGGTCAACCGATATTGTCATATTTGAATATCCTAAACACAATTACTCAGTCAGAATTTATCTGTCCAAAGTAGCTGAGTCCCTTGTATTATTTATCTCACCAATTCCAGGCCTGCAACCAGTTTATCCTTCACTTGTGGTAAATTTCCGATCCAGCGAATGACACCATATCTTAAAACACCATTCGCTACAGGAACCTCTACCACAGATCCAACCTTCAAACCATAAGGGCAATCAACTGACCCGATGCCATTGTTATCTGAAAGAAAAACTTCAATATTTATATATATCTTATTAGACGTTTTGTTGTGTAGTATCGCTGAGTATTTCTGCGAGTTGTGCCGTATTTTGACGAGCCCGTAGAGCGAGTCAAAATACAAATAACGAGTAAAAATACTCACCGATGCTACTCAACAAAACGCTAATTAGGTAATTTATTATTCAACACGCCAAACCTTTATTTCAGTGCAGGTGAATTTCGCGGATATTTACTTACGGGGAGTGCGTGACAGAAGTAGGCAAAGCGGAACGCAATTGGCGCGTTGTCGTGTTGCTTTTTCTATTTTCTTCAATAAATAAAGAAATTTCCAGGTGGTCTAGCTATTTTCATTCGTTCCATTCATCTAATAAACTTGGATCTATATATGCCAGCCATAGACCACTTTCATAAATGGCTGCCGGATTAATATTCTTTTGTTTAAATTTAAATGAGCCCTTCTGGCCTCGCTTCAGACAATGCATTCTTTTGAATTTTGTACTGGAGAACGAGGCCAGAAGGGCTAATTTAAATTTAAACAAAAGAGTGTTAATCCGGCAGCCATTTATGAAAGTGGTCTATTCCGACTCTTCGTGGTCAGAAATATGATTCAAATTGGCGGACAATAAACAGGTTTTCTCGCTTCGCATGCGCGATGCGAGAAATCCTGTTTAACCGGTACTCTAGAGTACAAATACCCCGTGATATTTGTACTCTACGAAGTGTAGTTAGATAATAATACGTCAATTACTTCAAGATCGTACAGATCATCATGTATTATTACCTCATTCTTTCTAACTAAAGGTAAATTAAACGCATCTGCTTTTAATTTATCCTTTGTCACTCGTTGTTTGAGTAAGTAACTTAGCGGCGCTAATGCAACATCCAACTGGATGTTTATCGGCGTGAACTCAATCCGCTCTTTCCCATGCAAGTGTAATTTGCCTAGGGATAAGTATTAAAAAGAATGAGAAAAATGTCGCCCTTTCAAAAGAGCGTTCTTAAATGCCTTTCAACTACTCTATGAAGTTTTCGAGTGAAAA